AGTTGACTCACAAGGGACATTCGGCAACGCGGAAATTAAAAAAAATCTGAAACTCTGCATAATTGTAGAGCAGATATACCTAATAACAAAACAATTTTTCGTTGGTGCCCAAAAACGGTTTTAAGGGTGGAAACAACCCCTTGAACAAAGTTGATTTTTGTCTTTCTAAGCGAATATTATCGAAACTATTAAAGATATGAAAAAATGTTTTAGACAAAAGTTTTATGGTTTTAAAAGTACTTTATTATGCTATATTTAGATTTTTTTAAAATGTAAAATTGTGTATAAAATTGTGTATAAAAACCCCCCCTCCTTCTCTTTTTTCAAATTGTTAAAATCAATTGTCCAACCAAAATAAAGCTTATTTTATGACAAATTCAACCATATATAATAACATTATGTTTGGAAAAGGCAATATTGAAAAAAAAATTAAACATGCTCTTATATGTATGCTACGCGTACCAAACTTAAGGATTCGCTACTTGACGATGGCATTTCTTTCTTCCTCAAATCTTCCTCATAATTGCAAACTGTAAAAGATAAGGAAGGAAGAAAATAGAAAATCTAAAAAAGCAATAAAGTTGATGTTAAGAAGTAAGTAGGAGAAAAATAGCATGATAAGGATACAGTCACTAATATTTAAAAATCTTATAAATTATAAAATTTCACGTAATAGACGTTTATTTTGCCAACATTGCGGCTACCTTTTTCATTAATTTAAACGACACGCGTAAATATAAATAAATATGTGTGTGTGTGTATGTGTGTTTTTGTACGTGCGCACGTGTGTGTACATCATGGCAACATGCAAAACACTTGTCACAAGTTTTATGACTGTGCGACCAAAATAGTACTCTTTATCAAGTACAGTGCAATCAAGGTTCATTATATTGACATATGTTATCTTCATTCATTTGCATATAAAAGCTGTCCATTTTGGAATACATTTCAGTGTTATTGAAGCAGTTATTGAAGCAGTACGTATATTATTATTGCTGTGAGAAATGTTTAATTAAAATATCCTTAAGATTTGTATCATAATGTCAGTAATAAATCCAGCTAATGTTATTAATTTGTTAATTGCGACATTTCATTTCACAAATATTGCAATAACTCCTGTTAATCATCAAGAGGTGGAACTCCATGATACAATTACTGATTTAATAAAGAGTGCTATACATCACGATATTACGATCGAACATGAGTGGGGACTTGATTTTGACGATCCATCAGAACCGCATGACGTACAATTTGTAGATGTGTACGACATTGATGCTGAAGAAGATAATTATGGAAATGAAGTTTGCACTGTGGATGATGAAGGTGGAAATGTAAACTTAAATTATAAGAAAAAGGTAATCGAATTTTGGAAGAGTGGAAAGAAAGGACATTTATCTCTTACTTCTGTACAACATCGTTTTAGAAAAGTAAAGTTTAATTAAAAAATAAGAAGAATAATATGTAGTAAAATACTTGAGGCTTTTACGGTGTACAGTGACCGGCAGTGATTCGTTCCGCGACAGGGAGAACTCTATTTCCCCTCTCGCGGAACGCATCATTGTCGGTCATTGTACATACAGCTTTGACTATAAGTATAAAGCATCCCAAAAAATTTATTTAAATTGTGTAACAAAAACATACTATATGAATATATGGAGAACATAATATAGTATGCGAGTATATGGAAAAATAATATAATAAAAAAATATAATATAAGAATATGTGGAAAATAATATTTATTTTACAATATTTATTGTAATATAATATAATATTAATATAATATAAATTATAATATAAATATAATATACATAAATATAATATACACATTATATTATAAAATATTAATATAATCTTTATTGTAAAGAGATTATATATTTACTAAGAGTATATGCATTGATTTCTAGGAAAATACAATGAGTTAGAGATGCTTTATACTTATGACCAAAGCTGTAAATTATATAGTTAGAGTCACGTTGTTTTTTATTTTAAGTTTTACAATTTGATGTTTCGTGAACATTTAATTCGTATATAACTTCTTTTATTTTTGAATTCGAATTGTTTAATATTGAGATTTGTTTTCTTCTAGGTAAAATCTATTCAACAATTGCACAGATGGCAAGAACATGTAATGCGTGGGGGTTCAAATACAGACAAACTTGTAGTTATTGCTGAATATGTTCTTATAAAATTCCAAGAAGCTGTTAATAGAGGACTTATTATTCATGATATAAATCTGCGAAAATGGGCACTAGAAGCAAAGGAACAAGTGGATTTTTCTTCATTTAAAGCAGGAAATTGGTGGATATGGAATTTTAAAAAGGCACATCGTATTACATCACGTAAAATAACTGCATTTAAAACGCGGTCTTCTCATTTAACTGATCTAACTATACGTCAAAACGCTGAGGAATTTGTAAATACAGTAAAGCCACATATTAATGTAATCGGTGCTGAATCAACTTATAATGCGGACGAAAGTGGCTTTAATTTAGAAATATTATACATGCAGGAAGAACATTAGCTAATGTAGGAGTGAAGACAGTTGGAGCTACTATCCAATCTTTATCTGCTATGACTCATAGCTACACCATTATGCCTATTATATCTGCAGATGGACATCTCCTCTCGCCTTTGTATATAGTATTAAAAGAATCTACTGGTGTTTTTGGACCACAAGTAGAATAAACTCTTTTTAGACCAGTGAATATTTACATTGCGGCTTCAAAATCAGGGAAATTGACAACTGAACATTTCAAAAATTGGTTCCAAGAAGTGTATCTACCAAACACTGGAGAGAAAAGTATACTACTGCTTGATTCATGGACAGGACATTGCCCGAACCAATTGGAAGAACTTGTACCAAAAGTACCAAAAGTACATGACAAACATGTAAATATTCTAACAATACCAAAAAAACAACTGCTTTTATACAGCCATTAGATGTTTTTGGTTTCAGAATCTGGAAAAATTTTGTTCGAAGCTTTTCTGATAGTGTTATTATAAATAATTATGACATAAATTTACATTTACGTAATAACATAATAAAATTGCAATCTTTAACACACAATCAACTGTCTTCTCCAAGATTTCGAAATTTATTTAGATATAGCTGGTATAAAAGTGGTTATTTATCAACACGGCCTGAAAAATTTCATAATCCAATCGATTATTGTTATTTTAAAGAAGAAAAACGTATACCAAAATGTAGCATTTGTGGTAAAATGGCTTTTATACGTTGTGCATGGTGCAAGCAATATTTTTGTTTTGAACATTTCTTTGAGCAATATCATTATTGTAATAATTATATAGAATAAATAATATTTTACTGTCCTCAATTCCTGTAAAATTTGTATATATTATAATCCATACCAAAATATAAGATATCTTTCACTCGAATATCTATATCGACTACTTAATTAATAAAACCTATATACTGAATGAAGCAAAACACATACACACAAATGTACACTGAATAAATTTATAAATTATATTTTTCATTATTAAATCCGTGTGTGTTCTCCTTTTTTCTTCATATCATTCATTTCCTTATTTGTTCTTTACAATTGAATTTAAAAGATTATCTATATTAGGGTTATATACACTCTCTCTGCGTCCTCCTTATCATGCTGTTCTTCTTCAATTTACTTCTTAACATCAACTTTATTGCTTTTTTAGATTTTCTATTTTCTTCCTTCCTTATCTTTTACAGTTTGCAATTATGAGGAAGATTTGAGGAAGAAAGAAATGCCATCGTCAAGTAGCGAATCCTTAAGTTTGGTACGCGTAGCATACATATAAGAGCATGTTTAATTTTTTTTCAATATTGCCTTTTCCAAACATAATGTTATTATATATGGTTGAATTTGTCATAAAATAAGCTTTATTTTGGTTGGACAATTGATTTTAACAATTTGAAAAAAGAGAAGGAGGGGGGGTTTTTATACACAATTTTATACACAATTTTACATTTTAAAAAAATCTAAATATAGCATAATAAAGTACTTTTAAAACCATAAAACTTTTGTCTAAAACATTTTTTCATATCTTTAATAGTTTCGATAATATTCGCTTAGAAAGACAAAAATCAACTTTGTTCAAGGGGTTGTTTCCACCCTTAAAACCGTTTTTGGGCACCAACGAAAAATTGTTTTGTTATTAGGTATATCTGCTCTACAATTATGCAGAGTTTCAGATTTTTTTTAATTTCCGCGTTGCCGAATGTCCCTTGTTAGCTGTGCAAGAAGAGTTGTGGAGAACGCTTTCGGCATATTAGTGGCTCAATGGAGAATATATCGAAGGCCAATCATCGCGAATGTTAACAATGTACGCAAAATTATACAAGCAACAATAGCACTGCACAATTTTATTATTAAAAATGAAGTGCAATTAACTGGCAAAAAATCGTATTTACATATGACTCCAGAAAATGAACGTACAAGTCATGCAGTTTTCAATGTACCACATTGCAGAGACCGAAACAATAATAATGCTATTGCATTGAGAGAAGCATATTCCACATATTTTCAAGGAACTGGTGCGTTATGTTATCAATGGGAAAAAGCGTTACAAAATGATTTTCAATTTGTCTTTAAGTAACTTATTTATAAGAATTATATATATGTCTTGTGTATATAATAATATAAAAATATATTTTGTTCAAAAATATTATTTTATATTATTAAACAAAAAGTGTAAGTAGGAAATAAATTTATCATAATATCTATATTGTTAAAGTATTTTTATGCTAATACACATATTTGTCCATATTTTCAAACGCAGGAAAATACAACATAATATAATGAAACAGAAACACTAATAGTTGATATGTTAATATTTTCAAACACAGGAAAATACAATACAATATAATAAAACAGAAACACTAAAATTTAATATGTTAATATAAAGAAAAATAAAATAAATAGATAAATAATGAATAAAGATAAAATAATCAACAGAAAGTAATATAATGTAATATTAAAAGTTTATATATTTTATGTCGGCAGATCGTTTAATTTATCTTGTTCTTCTGTGAGCATGGCAAGGAATTTCATTTCTAGTTTTATTCGTTCTCTATAACGTATTTTTCTTAACCCTTCATCTAGTAAGAGTAAAAACTCCATGAGGTTGCTTATTAGTATCTCGTAATGTAGCAATAACGGCTTTGTGAAACTCTTCGTTCATTTTGTTTGATTTGTTGAGTTTCCTTTCTGAAATATTGATTTTCAACATGAGATAAATTTCATAAAATTTCTAGTAAACTGAATATTAATATTGGACATACTTTTACTTGTACTGCAATCGTCACTTTCTGTAGAACACGTTAGAAGTGATGAGTTTGATACATAGCTGCATGTTGATTGAGGTACTAACATTGGAGACTCATTTACTTCAACTGTAATATTTTCACCTTACATCTGTCTTGTACCCTCTTTATTTTGTGCATCTGATGGCAAACTATTACATGTCCTATAGAGAGAAACAGAATTTAATATCAAGTCAGATATTAACAAAGAATAATCAAGAACTTCAAAGAAGGATTCCTTCTGTGTGGATAATAATTTCAATTTTTCTTTGTTGTTATTTGTTATTTATTTATTGTTCATTATCAACTTGTTATTTAGACCTCTTTGACGATAAAATTCTTTATATTAATATCCACGTAATAGGAATTCTTCACTAAGATACAATTGGTTATGAGCAACTTATAGAATATAAAACTTTTACAAAATAATTTCCAATGGCAAATGATTTAAAGTTTTCTCTGCAATACGATGTAAAAGAATTATGTACTTTGTCACATACAAATTTTTAATAATCGACTGCAGATAAGGAAAGAAATCTTAGATAACAAGGTGACATCCAGAGATGTTATTAATACATTATTTGATGTCATCCTGCTACCTAAGTTCTTATTGTATAAATATTAATTTTAACAATTTAAAGTGAAAGAGGACTAAATAACAAAATCAAGTTTGAAGTATTTTTCTAAATACAACCTTTTTAATATTACACATTAAACTTACGAAGATTTTTCAAAAAAATCATCCAAAAACTTTATTTGTTCATAGAATCTGAAGGAATTTTTTTTCGTACTTAATGCTTCAGCAGCAGACTCACTTGGAATATAAGTACGTTTTTTCTTTTTTGCCTTTATGAAGCAATCACGAAGATATCGTCATCTTTTTTTAATTTCGATTATGCTCAATGTCCCTGTAAACATACATAATAACCTAAAAGATTTCATGGAACTTGTATAATCATTACGCATGTCAAAAAAGAAATAAACATACTAACCTCCCAATGAATTGCATATTTCTTACCACAGTACAGTTTTTTTTAAAGTGCTTCTTTCACTTGCTGATATCCGATGGTCGAATAATGCTCGCTTCTGGGATATAAGATTTATTATCTGTTCATCGATGTCAACTGCTTCAAGAATGTCATTATTTTCTGCATTGTTCAATTCATCAAACTGTTCTGGGCGAGGCACTGTAACATAAGAGAAACAATAATAACATTGGTAAACAAAATTCAGTCCACTAAGTATTATTAACAGACAATATAATTTATCAGTGAATAATCAATGTTTTCCTTGCTAAAGAACATGCTTCAATTACTAAAATTTTACTTATCGACAGTAACTATTAAATTTTCATTTATTTTTAACTGATGAATGTCCTCACAAAATGGATGGAAACAAGAATGATTTAGTAATTCAAAGTTTTTTGGAAGGATATATCCGCAATATCCACATTTTTTTTCCTGTAACAACATTAATAAACAATCATAACATAAAATTCCTAATAGAAACTCATATTTTATAAAGTTATTCGATAAAATATAGTATTAATATAAAATTCGTAATATAAAATTATATTTATTTAAGGTAATTTCAAGAAGCACGGTAGTGTCTCGCGCCAAGTTCAAGCGCAACGAAGTTTTTTGTTACACTGCGATATTAATCAGCAAGTCAGTACGGACCTTTAAATATAGTCGATCATTTGTTTACATATGTTTGCTTACGTTATGTAACAAAAGTAGCAAAAAGTAGCAAAAACTTTTTCTTAAAATATATATCATAAACAGCATATATAACTTAGAATGTTTTTTCTTGAAAGTGGAATTACGGGGAATGGTAAATCGGAAATGAGTATGTTATGATTAATATACTTGTAATAATGCAATAAAAGAGAATGTAATATATTATAATTTATTTTTATTTCCTCCAATTTTATATATTTTTCATTCTTAATCTTCGCTCATCATATTCATTAACTAAAAGTCCAAAAAATAATATATAATTGTTTAATATATGAACGATAAAGTAAAGAAAATGAAAAAAAATGTTAATTTATTTTATAATTTCATCCTATTAAGACTGATAAAAAAACAATCCAATCAACGTAACATTTCTCTTATAACTATTTTCAAACATTCTAATACAATCATAAAATTATTTTAGATCAATGCGGATATTGACTTTTGGCCACATTTACACATATTCTGACCCACTGTGTGCCATGGTCGAAAAGGAAACGCATACAAACGAAAGCCGCGTACATGTGCTACATGTATGCGGCTTTCGTTGCGCGTTTCCCCCTTCCACCGTGAGGCGCGGAGCCGCTAGGTTGAAATCTGCTATCACTGATCATGAGTAAGCTCAGAGTGCGACAAGGCGAGCATGAACGGGCTATCTCAATCTCGCTCAGTGCGCCAAGCGTGTGAGAAGACAGAGAAAACCGAATGATGGGGGTAAGCTTTGACCGTGCGTCTAAGAATTTCCAGCATTACTTGTGCCTGTGTCGCGTGTCTGCTCACTAGTGGTGAGACAAGGTCAAAGTGATTCAATTGTTATCCTTCTCTTACTCATATATATATATATATATATATATATATATATATCATTTTCACTATAGTCTGTTTTAGTAGCTCAGACATTAACCAGACTCAAATCATAGACATAAACCTCGTATCGTTACCGACATATCGAGTTAGTTGATGTCTATTTTCTCAGGGGGCATATCAGGACAGACATATGCTTTCGCCCGGTGGCCGCTCTCAGGTTTCTCTAGAAGGTTTGTTCGCGTCGCACACTCCAACATGCTCCTATTTGCCCCAATGTGTTCCAATCCGTTTGCATCACCGGAAACTATATGGCGACCAAGCGTTCGCGTCGCATTGGAGCATTCCTCAAGGAGCAAATAGGAGTGTGATCCATTTATCCCAGCTTCGGAGGTGGTGCAGTTTGGGCAGAAACAATTTTGTCATGAGCGCATGCGCAATCATTAGTTTACTTTTGCGAAGAAGAATGCAAAAAAGTACGACTAAATTAAGAAAACGTGTATTAAATATTCAGGTATTTAAAATGTCTTGCATAAGATTTTAGTTGACTGCTGAAATATGCATTTTTATAATTAATTAACTAATAGTAAATTCAAAATAGGTTAAGTGATTTTATTTTAGGACAATTTGTGTAACTTATGTTTATATTTTATTTGAATTAATACGTGAGCAAAAATGTAATATTTTACATACGACATATTATTCAGTAATTTGTGATTAATATATTCCAACATTATTTGTTTTAAAGTTATTTTAACCAGTTAAGAAGTATTCACTTACACAACTATTGTATTTAATATTAATGATTTTTTTGTTATAGTCTTCAGCAAGACAAACAATCCATAATGGCTGAATCTAATCAGAAAATTATGATAGCACACCCGAATGCTAATTCTTTAATAACAGGATCTATGATTCCAAAGAACTCAGCTATAAAAGTCATGCCAAAAATATTGTCATTTAAATTAGTTAAGCCTCAAACACCAAATACTTCTGCCGTAACTCACATAACGGACTTAACACAATACTTAACCACAGTGCCTTTGATGAATAAGATGAGTCCTTCCAGTATTCAGTTGCATGAAAGTCCTTCCATTACAGCAACAAGCTCTACGCAGCATACAGATACAATTATGAGTTCATTGGATTTTTCGATTGTAAACTCAGATTCTTCCACAGTTATGGAAAAGGAACTTATGACAGATAATGAAAAAGAGAATGATTCTGTTTTCAACAGTGTTTTCAACAGTGATAGCCATTTTATTTGGAGTCAAAAGTATAATGTTATTTTTCTCAGAATATGAAGAACATGAGAAAAAGTTTCAAAAACGGAAATATCAAAGTAAGGAGGCTATGTTTCAAGCGTTAGCAGAGTCGTTCCAAAAGAAAGGTTATATAAATGCTACCAAAAATCATATGAAAAATAAATTTAAATTATTGAAGAAGAAATGGGATATACATATTAAACGGACCACTGGAAAAAATAGCTCTGGAAAAGGCACAAAACCTCTTCCATATGAAGAGTAAGTTTTATGTTCATTCTGTTTCTTGTATGTGTCATAATTTTAAATGGAATACTTTCAATTGATACTCAGAAAACATGAAAGTTTTGAAGATATCTAAAAGATATGTTTTAAATATTTTCTAAGAAAAGATATTTTTAAAAAATATCTAAAAGATATCTTTTAGAAATATCTTGAAGATATCTATAATGAGATATCTTTCACATATCTTTAAGATCTCGATGTTTTCTAGATCTTAATATGTCCTTAAATATCTTTCAAATAACTTAAGTATATTTTTTGATATCTAAAATAAAATTTGTAAACGTTTTAAAATATCACGTCTTAAAGTGTAAGATGTTTTTTTACATTTCATCGAAATATGTAAAAGATATCTTAACTTGTTGCATAAGGTATTTTTTAAATCTCTAAAAAATATCTTTTTCAGAAATACAAGACATAGCAAAATATCTTTTAGAAGTCTAAAAGATATCTTTATGTCTATTTGGGCAGTTTAATCAGCTTTCTTTTTTGATATTTTTGCTTTCTTTTTGTTATTTTCGAAATATTTAAAGTATATATATTTAATCACTAATGGATTGTATACTTTTCCTTATAGAGAAATGATAAAAATATTTGGAAAAAGTCATAGTGGAGTGCCACTTATTGTAGCTAGCCGTAATTGAATTATTTCTCAAAAAGAAATTTTGCAAAACGTCTGTCAAAATTTGTCTGAGTGAGTAATGATCTCTCTAAAATACATTTTTAAATTCTTGTCTTCATTTAGATAAGTAATTAAAAGTGTTTTCTATTATAGAAATGAGAATGAAGAGCAACAAGAGCAGATTTCTTCTGTACTACATTCACCGAATCCCGTAACTGTAGGTACCAATTTAAATCTCTTGTCATCGAGAAACAATTCGTCACCAACAAGGAGCAATGTTTCAGTTCCGACGTTATCGACTAATAGCAGCAGATCATCAATGACGGGTAGCAGCTGCTCCTCTTTAACAAATACAAGAGTAAAAGTACGAGATGGCAAATTGGCGCTTACTTTGCAATCAGTCAAAGAATCCATTTGTGCCGTGTTACAAAAAGAAAGTAATGATAAACAAGAAATACGCACAAAATTCTGACAGAGCTTCAAAAATTTAACGAATTGCAAAAAGAACGAAATATCATTCTGCAAAAACAACTTATGGTATTTAAAAATTTGGCCAAAAAGATAAATCCAACAGAGAAACTATTATTACATGACTGAAAACATTGAAATAATTGTTAGATATAAACATATATTTTATTTGACCATATTTAAAACAATGTTGGTTATGTTTTTAGTTTTTGATTAAATATAAATATTTAATTTCTCAAATTTTTATTTATTCGTTTTCTGTTAATTTTAATGGATAGCACGATAAGACTTCGTATTAAACTTCTCGAGAAGTCAAAGTTAAGTTTACTCGATTGAGTTTTTTTGCATAATAAAGCAGTATTATTTAAAATCAGTTGCTGATAAAGGATAAAAACTATTACAATTTCTTTTAATCATCAGTCATTTTTAGTCAGTTTAGTCAGTTTATTGAAATATTACACACGTGCATTATACATTAATTGTATTTATTTTTTGTGAAAAAATTATTAGAGATATAAAATATATGATATTAAAACAAACTGATGTGTGGATAACTGATATGTATTGTTGAAAAGAATTTTTTTGTTCAGAGACATTCTATAATCACAAATAAAACTTTAATATAATATTTAAGAGATTTTATTATCTTTCTTAACTTCTCCTAATATGAATAATTTAATATAACGATTGTTAAGATAACGATCATTATGTTAAATTGTTTGTGTAAAAAAATTAAATTAAAATACATATACAAACATATAAAATAAATATAAAATATAGATGTGTATTTTAACTTTGCTATACATACATAGAATACTTAAAAAAAGTAGAACTTATTACAAGAAGTAATCATCTTCTCATGGCCACTTTTTAAGGTATATTCAGACAAATATGTATGAGCACATGATATATATAAACATAAAAATAAAATAATCAATTGCTTTTTTTTACAATAAGCGCGTATAAAATTCCAAAACGTTAAAAGTGTAATAAAACGCAAAAAAGGCAAAATAATATCTTGCAAAAACAATATAGCGATATTAGAGAAAATGATAAAAAGAATATACCTAAGAAAAAGAATTATCATATGAAGACTGAAAACATAGATATTGATGTAAGATATAAACATATTATTTATTTAACGCTGAACTTTTATATATTTATATATATATATATATCATATAGTCATTAAAATTTGTCTTAATATATCTCTACTCTACGTTGAATCGTCTTTGGAACAATTGTCGGCATAGTTCATCTCTGAGATCACAACCACGTCGCTCATCAACAAAATTTTCATCCCTATCTTCTGGCAGGACATGGGGTAACAACACCTGTGCATTTACATCAGCATGATTGTCGTCCTCGGGTTCTTCCATGTATTGCATATCATTAAAGTCAGCCATATTATGAAGGACGCAACAAGCGAAAATGAATTTAACGATGAACTGCATGTTCCTCAGCTTAAGGAAATATAATTGCCTGAAACATTGTTTCAATACTCCAAATGTATGTTCTACAGAGATTCTGCACTGACTATGTATACGATTAAAGTTTCTTTGGGCCTGTGTAAGATGTCCATTATCCCGATATGGAGTAATTAATTGAGGAAGGCATGGATATGCAGCGTCTCCAAGAATTATGTTTCCGTCTAAAAAAATTACATTTGCTTAAGATAAACATCAAAAGTTAAATAAACATTCACGATAAAGTATATGTATATTAACTAAATTAAACAAGAATAGAGATATTCGACTAAAACAATAATACAATAATTGTTTATGATTATTATGTATTCATACTGTGACAGAGTGCTGGTAAGTCTTCAGCCAGACTAGAATTTGCAAATACTCTTGCATCATGCACTGAGCCAGGATATCCAATTAACACATCTAAGAACTTGTTCTGCTCATTAACTGTTCCCTGCATGTGAATGGAAAAATAATGTTTTCTATTGATATAGGCTACTGGGTCTTCAGAAGGTTTGTCTATACAGATGTGTGAACCATCAATAGAACCTATAACAGGAAAGAAATATTAATTAAGTTATATCATTACCCACACTAAATTACAAAAATGTAAGTTTAAATTAAGTACATCATCAGAAAAAATTACATTATTACCAATTATTCCTGGAAAATTTTTATTTTCTACATAGTATTTCTGCGCTCTCTGCTTTTCTGCCTCAGTGGGTTCATACCGAATAAATTCATTTCTTAAATCATATAAAAACTGTGTGACTCTTTGTAACACTGATTCAAAGGCACTAAGAGACAAATTAAATCTATCAGCAACATCCCTGAAACTTGTACTTTGATGCCCAGCAAACTATAGAAAAGTAAGAATGTGTTTTTCAGCCGAAACTACTTCAAATCCTCCATGTCCTATATAAAATATTAATTATACTTTATTTAAAATAAAATGAAAAACTTATGATATTAAATCTTTAATTTAAAAAACAGTACTTACCTCCCAGATTTCTAAAATGTGCCCAATAACTAAATCTGTCCACCATGCTTCTGAAAAGCATTCTTTTTAAACAATAATGCATAATAAATTCTTCATCGGTATACATTGGCACTATTTGTTCAATATAATTAGTTATGCATGTTCTACGTCTTCTTTGAATGATACCTTCAGCCATTTCAATAACTGCATTAATAGCAATATCTACAAATTACATAAAATCAAATAAAAATGCACTAACTATTTAAGGAAATGACGGTAATTATACAGAATACCCCCTCACCTCCAATTTTGACGAAAAAATATTTAATCGACGCGTTTTTGCAAGAGAAACAACTTTTCTATTTGAAAAAATCGTCGCTCTGTCTTGTGGAGCGAGATATAAATTGTTAAAGTTGATGACAATTTAGGTTAGGAAATCTGTCACGGAGGCGACAGATAAGATTCCGACAGAGATTTTTTCAAATAGAAAAGTTGTTTCTCTTGAAAAAATGCGTCGATTAAATATTTTTCATCAAAATCGGAGGTGAGGGGAATATTCTGTATAATTACCGAAAAGACAAATTAAAACTAATAATGTTCAAAGGTTATAGCAAATAAGGTTAGGATGTCACATCTTCATCAATACTCACTCTCTATTTCATCGTCGTTCCCATTGTCTTCCACAAATAAATCACGGATTACAGCTAAAGGTAAAAGATTTTCATTAATTTCATTCATAATTAATATATTAAAGCCAATGAGAAAATCTTCCAATGGATCCATGCTGCGAGTTTAATTTGCATGTTTGCATGCATCTTAAAAGAGGAGAAACTGCTCCAATCCGTTCGTGTCACTGAGCATTGGTGCACATGAACTCATCTGCTCCAACCACCATCTTATCCGTGATCCAAATGCTCCCTGGTGTATATTGGAGCATGCGACGCGAACAAACCTTCTTCTGGTTCTACTGAACGCGGCCATTATGTCCGCGAGTGTACAGAAGGCGCCTCACACTAGGCTCGGTTAAAAGCAGCCCGTGACCTCTCTCCTTCTCTCTGTCTCTACTAAGCCTAATATTACATGTGTCGTATGACAAGCTCTTTGGATGCATTGATTGGCGTACGCGGAGGAATCCTAGAAATATTCTGTTTGTTAAGGCTCGTCTACAATAGCTGTAAGAGTAAGGCTGTAAGGCTGTAACGTAAGCTGTCAGCGAATGAAAATATTTCATTTCGTGTCTTGCAACCTTACAGCCTTACTCTTACAGCTAATGTAGACGAGCCTTTAACCAATTAACATATTCGAAAAGATTGTCGTACGACAAATTAAAGGCTCGTCTACATTAACTGTAAGAGTAAGGCTGTAAGGTTGCAAGGCACGAAATGAAATATTTTCATTCGCTGACAGCTTACGTTACAGCCTTACAGCCTTACTCTTACAGCTATTGTAGACGAGCCTTTATATTAGCCTTAAGGCTCGTCTACATTAGCTGTAAGAGTAAGGCTGTAAGGTTGCAAGACACGAAATGAAATATTTTCATTCGCTGACAGCTTACGTTACAGCCTTACAGCCTTAAGCTAAGACTCCATGCATGCGGTGAGCTCCGGCAAACGGCTGCGGTGACCAATCAGGAGACAGACGCATGCCGGAGCTTGCCGCAACCGGACTTGCGCCTCCCTCCTGATTGGTCATCGCAGCATTTGCCGCAGCTCACCGCATGCATGGAGTCTTAGCTTTACTCTTACAGCTAATGTAGACGAGCCTTTAAAGGTCATTCTACAATATGTGTCGTAAGTTGTAAGCCGTAAGAATTGGCGAATCACAATCAATTATTATAAAAATAATCGGCCATAATTGGTCAGTTCTTACGGCTTACAACTTACGACACTTATTGTAGAATGACCTTTAAGGCTCGTCTACATTAACTGTAAGAGTAAGGCTGTAAGGTTGCAAGATACGAAATGAAATATTTTCATTCGCTGACAGCTTACGTTACAGCCTTGCAGCCTTACTCTTACAGCTAATGTAGACGAGCCTTTAGGCCTGATCTACAATACGTATCGTAAGTTGTAAGCCGTAAGAATTGACGAATCACAGTCGATTATTACAAAAATAATCAGCTATAATTGGTCAGTTCTTACGGCTTACAGCTTACAACATCTATTGTAGACCAGGCCTTAAAGCCGTTGCACGTAGAAGAATTTAACCGTAAACGTAAGGCCGTAAGAAAACTGACCAATCACAGTCGATTATTCCTCTAGTGCAAGGAGAATAATCGATTATGATTGGTCAGTTTTCTTACGACCTTACGGCAGGGCAGGCAAACTCTCATGTTATAGACTGTGACATTGGAATGAGCGCCGCCAATAGACACGGGGGCGAACTAAATTTAATGGTGTCGTCTCGAGCGACAGTTTTCTTTAGACTATGTTATTTATATAGATTATGTCCATATTCTAAACTCTTTATTTTATTACTAAATTTATTAAAGGTGTCTCTAAAAGTAACTTATATCGAATTAGAAGACATATTATATAAACATTTTTAAAGACGTTTTTAGCAACAAAAAGTAGTTTAGAATATGGACATATATATATATATATATTATGCATATATATAAATTTATAAAAATAAACAGTTTACGTAGATTATTTTGTTTATTTCTTGAACATATGTCATTATAAGGAAAGGTAAATAATATAAGAGTTATATTATTTATATCTCGGAAACATGTTCATACATATATTACGCAGTGAATAAAATATAAGGCCTTTTTACATTAATACGTAAAAATATGTAAATCCAAACATTATAGACATGCACAAACAGTAAATATATAAGCATTATTTAAAAGCACAAGTGATTTATGCGAATATTTCGTTTGTGTTTCTTAAAATAATCAGCTGTAATTTGAAAAAGAGGATCTGAATAACTAGGTAAATTTAATGACCCTTTTAAAATTTTTCGAACAAAACTAAAATAATAATTAATAATATGATCAACATACATATGTATAAACTTAGCTTTCATCGACATTTCATGCCCACATTTTATAAATTCAAAATCAATCCTTTGCATTATATTTTCTTTAATATGAGTTGAAAATTTTACGTAATGCGATATTAGTGGTAAATATAAACGAGTTTTTTTCTTGCAATTTTCTATTGCTATAATATTATTTTTAAAAATTATATTCTCTTGCAACATATTTTAATTCTTCATGCATTTCACATTTATGGAATAGTAACAATAATTGTTTAATTGGAAAATTATGCATACTAAATGTCGTTTTGTCGTTATAATTTTCACATTGCACGGGTATTTCTATTGATATATTAATATTAGGTATAGGTGTAACTTCATTATTTTCAAATGTAGATGAATGCAAAAGTTGTTTCAAATTTAACAAATATGTAGAAATATTATCAGTTGCACAATTTCCATATACTAAAGAAGACTGAATAAATGCATTTATTAACAAACTTTTATAATAGCCTAAGAAAGCAGTACAGTTTGGGTTGATGTTTCTACCATCATATTGTCTTAATTGCCCGAAAAAATTTTCCAAAGCATCTTGATTAAAAAGTTTGGTAGGTATTTCGATAAAACCTAATTCTTTACAATAATCAACTATTAATTTAAATCCTTTGATAGTATATATCCAGTTTTTTAGGACATCAGGAAATTTTCGATCATGCGATTTCTTTTTTTCAAATTCCATTGTATTAAAGATTGCAATAGCATCGTCCCACAATTGTTCATATTGTCCATCTTCTATATTAATATTGCCATTGACAGAGTCAAATAAATTATTAAAAAATAACAACAATTCGGCAGTCTCTTTTCCTTCCTGAGACATGCATCTTGTTTCACAAGAACTGAAAAATCTACTTGAACTCATTAGTGTCATTACTGAGGCCACGGTGCGACTAAAAACTTGAGTGCAATAGGAAACCTTCATTTTTTTTTATTTTATTTGGCACTATATAGAAATCTGTTAATTTGTGCATTATTCGAAAATTACCATTACTGCGATCAATGAAATAAGCGTCCTCTATATGTTCCCACTTAGCTATTCGCGTTTTATTATCTGTTAACTTATATTTCAAATCTTTTGTAAGTAAATTATTTCGAATACATTTTAAAAGATGTGGTGGATCAAAGACCGGTATTATTTGTTAATTGTTAATAACAATAACATTCTTTATTAATGTTTTATTATTTACTGATGCTTCTTGCTTTGAATTAATAATAAGATTTTGTATAACTTTACTATTCGTTCCTCCTTGATCACATATTGACGCTATAATTATTAATCCTGCATCTTGACCTCGTGTTACAATTTCTTTGAAAGTACGAGCAATATCTATCCATGATGTAGTGCCTTTACAAAAAGAAAATGCTACTGCTTGTTTCCATGGAATGCCAAATATGCTTTTGAACATCCAAACAAGAGCATGATCTGCAATTACAATTTTTCTGTCGTATCCGTTATCTACGTAACCTTCAATAAGATCAGTAGCTGGATTATAAATCAATGAAGAGCCTAACTTAATCTCATCGAAAATTAGTATACAATATTTGTATTTGTCATCATCAAAAGTTTGCACGCGAGTTTTTATTTCCTCAAAAATATTATCACATATCCCTGGTTTTATTGGAATTTTTTGTAACAGTGTTCTTAAAGTTTCTTTGCAAGGCAAACAAAATATTTTTTCAAGAAATCTATACATTCGTGGGCTTTTTTTATATAATGTAATAGCAAATATTTTGTCTTCAAGAGTATATGTTTTTTTATACTTATTTTTGTTCATATTCCTTAAGTAGCTTGTAAAATAATGTTTTGCAGGTTGTGGTAATTCATTGATAAAATGCAATTTTGCAGAAATCTATTAGCTTCTTGTAAACGTAACAATAAATTATTTCTTCGTGCAGTGCGTATAATAGTCTTTCTAAGTGAAGCCACAAAATTATAAATTTGGCGTTCCTTAGGTTAGAGATCTACTGTCTTATTAACATTAAAACATCGTAACAGATTAACTGGAAAAAAATAACAAAACATGTTAAAGAAAAGAAGTAGACAAACATTGATAAACAAGAAAAACATGCTACATTGGTTAAAAGCAACACAGAAAAACATAAAAAAGATGAAAAACATGAAAATAACATAAAAAAGATGAGAACACAACATGCTGAAAAAAAAAGAAATAGAAATACATGAATAAATAAGACAAACATGCTAAATTAGTTAAAAGCAACACAGAAGATTTATATTAAATTTATATTAATTGACTAATTAAGATTTATATTAATTGATTCGATAAGATTTAAATAATTTTCTCAACTATTACTAGGAGAAAGAAAGTTTCAAAAACTACTTGAAATAAAAAAAAATCAGTGGTGCCATTGGCATTGGAAAATTTTTTCCCTTCATTTGTATGAGTTTGTATGATTTCTCCATTTTATCCAATGGAAGAATTCGTTACCTGATGGTAGAATGCTCCTATTGGACAAGATGGAGTTTAAAAATTCATCTTCAAAATTGCGGACAACTTTTTCGTCCATGATTGTACATAAATAGCATGCAAAAATATTGTGACTTTCATACATTATTTAAGAGCTGGAGACGCTCTTGAAGACATTTTTAAGATCAACCAAATTTTTTTTATATTATATTTTTTTAATAATAAGTAATATGTATACAGGGTGTCCGGTAACTTGTTAAGCAGCTGCCGTGTACAGGCCGATTATGTCTAAGTAAAAAAAATTTGTCTGTTTATTAATTTTTATAAATATATAAGCAGTCGATGCAAATTAGCTGAGTATTATTTTATCATAGATTTAGCTGAGTATTATTTTATCATAGATTTACATTTTATCACTTATATATTTTATTTATCAATGTAAAGTTGCAGTCCAAAATTCATGATAAGTATTGGAAATGTTGAGTAAACGTTACATATATTATAGATTTTCAGTACTACCAGTGTATATAGGAACACATCCTGAAACGTTAATTTTGGTATTAGATGTAAGTTATGAAGAGAATCTTTTAAAAGATATATTCTCCCAACACTTAAAAAGATGCCATATCTTTTCAACACTCAAAAAACAATATTCAATTTTTTTTCACTTTTATTTCCACATTTCTTTTTATTGCTCTCATAAACTTTGTAACAAATGTTAATGTATTTCTTATATTAAATACTTTTCTTATATAAAATACTTTTTCGTCTTTTTTAGCGAAATGTCAATTGCTATGACAATTTCTTTTTTATAATATACTATTATTCCAATGTTGTGTTTTATGTATGTCTGTTGGATAGCAATGTGAATAGACAGCAGGTGGCTGCGTGACTAAATCTATGATAAAATAATACTCAGCTAATTTGCATCGACTGCTTATATATTTATAAAAATTAATAAACAGATAAATTTTTTTTACTTAGACATAATCGGCCTGTACACGGCAGCTGCTTAACAAGTTACCGGACACCCTGTATACATATTACTTATTATTAAAAAAATATAATATAAAAAAAATTTGGTTGATCTTAAAAATGTCTTCAAGAGCGTCTCCAGCTCTTAAATAATAATGTCCACTAATAAAGTTCCCCTTTTTATTGAACAAATTGTTATGAAGTTCATACATAAAATGACTAATTCAATGATTAGCAAAATATGAAGATATATGAAAAAATAGTATATACTATGAATACTATTTCTTCATGTCTTAAAATTTCGTTAATAATGGAATTAGTCACTTTATGCGAATCACTCTGTATATTGTAATTAAATATTGTATAATTTCATTATAGAATTATAATGAAATTTACCTTTATTTTTTTTCTCCAAATTTTTTCTCAATCTATTTTTACTTGAACATAAATTCGGCGACTTTGTATCACGTTCAACAAATAATATTGCTGTACCTACGTAATGTAAATGTAATATTTCCGGATTAATGCAATATGAATATTTTTGAAGTAAAATAAAAAAATATAATAATATTCAAAGTACTCTGTCTATTTTCTCTTTAAAATAAATCACACTTTTTTCTTTCATGTTTTCCTACTGCATTATACAAGTTTTGAATAATTTTAATATAAAATTGATTAAATTGTAACGAATAAATAAATCCTTGTGATGGTAACGCCCGCGGGGTTCGGTGCGATCGGTCGCCCACCGTCGCGCCTGACTCGCCGCTTCCGCGACGCTTCGCTCGCCGCCGCCCCGGTGCGTTACTAGGGTGAAGGGGGTTGTGGAAAGTTGCTTCTCCTCGCAAGAAATGTGTGTCCGGCGTTTGGTGTGTTAGCAAGTGTGGTGCGCCCCGCGAGGCACCCCGTTTATTAAAAAAAAACAAAGATATTTGGTTCTATATATACAGGGTGTCTTATAACTAATCTGGCAGAGCTCGTGGAGACATAGAGCGGGTTAAGACAAATATGAAAGTCTCATACCGTTTTGTGAGATTCGCAATAATTATCGAGTTATTAATGACAGAAATCTGAGGAATGAGTGCACGTCGAGACGTTATGGAAGGAGTATCTAGCCGCTCAGGCTAAAGAGCACTGCCCAGTCGACAAAGGAACTGTTACCGGCGTGCGGCGAGAGGAAGGACGACGCGCCAATGTTTATGTCCTTACCTCGCCGCTCCTACATCCCGCCGCACCGTGTCTAAGCTCGCGCCGATATGGCCGCTGAATATTCACGATTATAATTATGAGATTATTTTATGAGGTACCACAGATAGCTCATATTGAATTGTAAAGTTCAAGATTCAAAAGTTCTTCGAAGGAAAACATCGAAAAGGAGAAAGCGATAGATTTAAAATAACACATTCGGATTTGCGTTGTATCGCGATTATACCTAGGAATCAATTTTATGCCGAGTATCGTTGATGCACTATTGACAACGATGGTCCTCTTTTCGCAATTGTACGATACAGAACTTTCAGTTCCTTCTGTCGTTAATATACCACTGACAAGAATTACGATATAAGACAACAATTTATGCATGATATATGGTAAAAATGTTTGGTCCATGATACAGCTTGCAAATGAAATATGAACGATACAGAGAAATATTAACTGAAAATATTAACACTGAATCTGATTCATCAAGGTTTATGGTTAACTTAAACAAAATTGTGCTTTTTTCAATCAAAATTTCTTAATCGTTCTCTCTCTCCCTCTCTCTCTCTCTCTCTCTTTCTCCCTCTCATTTCGTCAGAAAATGGGTTCATTCAACCAAACATATTTTCCGTATAGACTTGAATAAAACGATAGGACACGATGAGTCTCTACGCGAATTCTATCATACTCTAACAATTAAATATTCTCCTAACGATAGAGTACAATAGAGTTCGATGAAAAGTGTTCATCGTACTCTATCTTTACGCGATATCATTTCTTTCGGATCCGATGCAGCAAAACGATAGATTGCGATAGAAAACGATAAGAATCTCTGTAGATCTCATCGCTCTCTATCGCTTTCTCCTTTTCGATGTTTTTCTTGATCGAAGAACTTTTGAATCTTGAACTTTACAATTCAATATGAGCTATCTGTGGTACCTCATAAAATAATCTCATAATTATAATCGCGAATATTCAGCGGCCATATCGGCGTGAGCTTAGACACGGTGCGGCGGGATGTAGGAGCGGCGAGGTAAGGACATAAACATTGGCGCGTCGTCCTTCCTCTCGCCGCACGCCGGTAACAGTTCCTTTGTCGACTGGGCAGTGCTCTTTAGCCTGAGCGGCTAGATACTCCTTCCATAACGTCTCGACGTGCACTCATTCCTCAGATTTCTGTCATTAATAACTCGATAATTATTGTGAATCTCACAAAACGGTATGGGACTTTCATATTTGTCTTAACCCGCTCTATGTCTCCACGAGCTTTGCCAGATTAGTTATAAGACACCCTGTATATAAATGTACGTAGGCGGGCTCGCTGGTTCGGTGTGGCGTCGGCGATGCCCGTTCCTCGGTGCCCGTGATTCCGCTTAGCTGCAGGGGACGGTCCCCTATCCGCGGGGTCAGAGAGGATGTCCTGCTGCCTCTTGGCGGTCCGACGCCCTCGGCCACAAGTCCTGTTGAGGGCGGTTTATGCCAGTTGTTCTCTGGATAAGTTGGAGATGGTTTATTCCGGGTGGCTTACCACGGTCAAAACTGACGGACGAGCACGTTCACTTCTTCACACGCCGACTGTGGAAAATTTGTCTGTGGCGGCGGCTAATTGCTGCCGACACAGACGGACGAGCACTGATAAATCCGCGAACAGATACTTCGGAAATATTCTATGTCGGTGGCCAACGGCTGCCGACGTAGACGGACGAACACTTATACTCGCGTACAGGGACTTAGAAGCTAATCTACGTCAGTGGCTAATTACTGCCGACGCAGACGGACGAGCACTGATATCCGCGAACAGAACTCAGGAAATATTCGATGTCGATGGCCAACGGCCGCCGACACAGACGGACGTATACTTAGAAATCGCGGAACGGCGGCTAACTGCTGCCGTTCGTTCGGAAACAGATACTTAGAAATATTCTGTGTCGGTGGCTAACTGCTGCCGACACAGACGGACAAGCACTTATAAATCGCGGAACAGCGGCTAACTGCTGCCGTTCATTCGGAAACAGATACTTAGAATTATTCTGTTCCGGTGGCTAACTGCTGCCGACACAGACAGACGAATACGGTAAATTCGCGAACAGATATTTAGAATTATTCTGTGCTGGTGGCTAACTGCTGCCGACACAGACGGACGAATACGGTAAATTCGCGAACAGAGACTTAGAAATATTCTGTGCCGGTGGCTAACTGCTGCCGACACAGACGGACGAGCACGTATAAATCCGCGAACAGAGACTTAGAAATATTCTGTGTCGGTGCCTAACTGCTGCCGACATAGACGGATGAATACGATAAATTCGCGATGCCGGTCGGCTGACGAGGCTCGGCTGCCGAGTCTTGTAAAATTTCCCGGTGGTTCAGTACGGTGTGGAAGCTTTACTCACCGGCGGATGCCTTGCCTTCTCGTCGACTTCCCTGCACGGTTCTCGCTGGAGCTCTCCTTGGTAGCTGATTTGACTGACTGACTGTCTCTGACGGTCTGCCTCGATCTCTGCTCGAGAGCGGGTTTTATACCCTAAATGCCTCTCGACGATCGGTGGCCGATAATCGGGGGACTAGTTCCCCCCGATTTTTCGGAAAGTCGCGCGATTTTCGCGAATTACCCTTTTCTGGGGAACGATCTTCCCCGACCGTTTCGCCGAATTCGGCTTTTTTCCGGCGGTATGTCGGGTTGCCGCGGCATAGGTGTTCGGTGCTGCCGGGGGCGCGCGACGATGATTTCTCGCGATCGTGTGACGATCGGTGGTCGCCGTCACACGATAGTAACGGGGGTAAAACTCTTCGTTACATCCTCAGACAGTAAAAATTTTCAAGGGATATCTTGAGAATGTTTTGGAGACATATTTAAAATGTAGAATGTCCTCTGGACATCTTTCAGATATCTCGTGCAGATCTGCACTGTCTAGGTCATTACTTATATCTTACCTGATGATAATTCTTGACGATTGCTATTATGAACTATATCTTCAATTTGGTTTGTTTGTTCATATTCTAATTAAATTAAAGTAATATTAGTACATACCAGATTGTTAAAAAGAAAATTTGATTATGATAAGACAACAAAAGATCTTAAAAAATATCTGAAAGACGTCCAGAGGATTTCCAAATGTCTCAGAAAATGTCTTAGACTGGTATTCATAGTCGGATTTTATATTTAAGGCTGTTTTAAATTCATCTTCAGATGCTGTATGGATCATTTAATTGGCTACACAGTATTTGAACTTAAGACGGTCTTAAATATAAGATCCGACTATGAATACCAGCCTTAGACATCTCTTGAAGACTTTGTGCTATGTGTGCAGATTAATAAGTTAACTTTTACCATTTGATATAAATTCGGAAGCATTTGTAACATCAATCCTTTCATGTTGTATAATATTAATTGGTTCTGTAAACAAATTAAATATTTATAAGAAAATATATAGCTTTATATTCACTATAACAGCGTTTTTTATTGGGTATAATAGTATAATTTATTTATCATTTTTTTATAAAAAAAATTGATTTCTGTTAGTACATTTTAATAATTTTTCAATATACTTGGTAATAATAAAGTAGGCACAGCATCATTGCTTAATTTCTTTGGAAATTTATATCTTTCCTCAAAATGGTTCTCACAAATTATTCTGCTGGCTATTTTTTTCTCTGCTATTTTTAATAATTTTTCATCTCCGCATGCCAATAACCATTTTAAAAACTTATTATTATTTTTGGTAGGCTTTGAAAAGGTAAACATTCGTTTACCTGTCCCATTACAGTGCAATACTGCATATTTTTTGTGACTTATGTTGCTAAAAAAATATTTAATATTACAAATTATTAAATATTTGAAATTTAAATCTGACTCTATTCTGGCTGTATTCATAGTCGGATCTTATATTTAAGACCGTCTGAAATTCACGTTCAGATACTCTGTACCCAATGGATCCCAAGGTACCAAATGATCTATGCAGCATGAAAATGCAGCTGAAAATGAACTTAACACGATCTTAAATATAAGACCGGACTATTAATACAGCTATGACTCGTAACTTTTTAGGACATAGTAATGATTGCAAAAAGATTTATTTATAAAATCTAAACTTATATCTCATTTTTCGCGAATCTACTAGATTACTTTACGATAATACGTGTACGACTTACGTCTTACTGAAACAGAATTATATTTGTAGAACACACAAATTGCGTATTTGCCGATTTTGTTAGTATACCTTTTTGTATATTTATAACCTTTTTACCTATATAATAATTGACAAGTCAAGTTCATATAAGAAAGTAAATTATGAGTGGAAACTTCATATAACATTTGATGTCGATACTAACGCCCTCAGTAGACATGGGGCAGAAATACAGTGTCCTCGTAAATCCTATCTGAGTTTGACTGCCCTGCCTTACGGTTGCAGTTACAGATTTTCTACGTGCAAAGGTCTTAACTCCAATGTTCTTTGAATCAGGATTTTTCTGGCGGTTGCGTACGTTTGTTATGAACTTGATTTTTCTCACGGCTTTGTAAGAGACGACAAATCTTTCTTTTTTCGTGGAACGAACAATATGCCAAAAGCTAAAGGCAGGAACGCGTTCTTTTTCTTTATGATTGATTGGAAAAAACGTGCGGAAGCAAGAGGTTGCACGTTCCCCAATGGTCTTAAGGACGTGCAAGCGGATCCAGATTGTAATGAGGAATGGCAGGTATGATTTGAAAAAAAATATGTTTCAAAACAATTACAAATTAGAAATAATATTTAAATTATTTATGTTATATACATATGCAATATTCATATTTTTATTGATAATTCTATATTGGTATAAAAAAATAAATGTTAATTTATTATTATTTAAATAATTTATTTGTTGAGTAATTAACGAACTTGAGTTGAATTTTAATACTTACCAAAGTGCAAACTATAAAGAAGATGCTGATTGGACACAAATATATAAACATAGAGAAATAGTGATGTTTTTTGTAATTTTGGATTTTAATTTGTTTTCTATTTTTCCATACAAAATTCTTTCGAAAAGTCACTAATTTGTTATTTTTGACAAATATTTAGAATAATATATAGAATATCTCTATTACTTATCTAAAAATCAAAACATAAACTTATTCAATGTAAATAAAATAATAAGTTAGGCAAGTGAGAGCTAACACTGGTGGACAAATGTAAATAATAATATCAATGAACAGGCACAATTACGAAGAATTTATTAAGATATTTACATATATTTTGGACCCTATTTTTTGGACCCTCCTCAGTATAAACAAATAAAAAGATTTTGCAATGAAAAAATTTTGTGATGAAAAAATCATGTCCTTAGAAGCAATGGATTTGGATGTAAAGGCTCAAAAAGAAAAAAGTGTAAAAATTACTTAAAGTATAAAACATCTTATTTGAAGCACATGATCTCCGAGATGTTTTATGTTATAAGATAGAAATTAAGTTTAAATTTACATAAGGACATCAATGGTTTAAGTAAAGGTTATTTACCTATTATTGAAAAACTTCTGTACATATGATCATGTGTTATGATTGAGCTTTGTATATATTATATAAGTCAGTTTAAACTTCATTTCATATTGACTATTTCACATTGAGAGATGCGAAAGCATGCTTTGTATTAGTATATTTGATTTGATGTTCTACTTCTAGCTGAGAAGTGCGATTGTTTGGTAAGGATATTTTTGACGATGTATTTTATCTTTTTATCTTTCTTTTTATAAATTATTCTTTGCTATTTATAGGTAATTTTCACACTTTTGTTTTTATGCCTTTACATCTAGATTCATTGCTTCTCAAAGATACGGTTTTTCATTGTGAAATTTTGTTTCATTGCGAAATCTTTTTATTTGTTTACACTAAAGAGGATCTAAAAAATAGGACCAAAACATATGTAAATATCTTAATAAATTCTTTGTAATTGTGCCTGTTCATTGGTGTTACTATTTATGTTTATCCACTGGTGTTAGCTCTCATTTACCTAACTTATTATTTTATTTTCATTTGTATCTTTGTGATTAGTTTATATTGTGATTGTATCTTAGTTTATATTTAATTATTCAATATCTTGCAAAATTAACATTTTGTATAGTTAAAACTATTGCAGAATTTTAACTACTTGTAAATTATTGTATATTATATTTATTAACTAAGATATATAATTACTTTTTATGTATATTATAGAATTTAACTAAACAAGAAAGAGGCCCATATGAAGCTCAAGCAAAGAAAGACAAGATTACATCACAAATAAATGCAAATAGTAAAAAAACTACACATGGAGAATGCATACAATTGCTCGAACAGAAAGAAATAGAAGAACAAAAGTTTATAGAAGATATGTATGAGTATCTAGAATCAACAATCACCAGAGCTGTAAATCATAATGGTGAATATAATATACAAAATAAATATACACAATATAATCTGTGATAATATATTGATAATATTTTTTATCATACAGTTTTACCACAGCTGAAATTCTGTTTTGTACATGTTAACTGGTTTTTCACAAAGCTTGTTGACAATGTGGTTGAATATTTCCCAGCTGAATATGCAGTTGGTGTCTTTTCACTTGAGAATGGCATAGAAGATATACATCATACAATTGTTGGTGTTCCAATTCCATTAGGATATAGGCGGGAAGCCTTGGAAACTAGTCAGTCTACTCATAACATACCTATAGAATGTCCAGGTGAAGAATCTGACTTTGCTATTATGTACGAGAAATTAACTAATTTCTTGAAACCCAGAAAGATTGTAGACAAATATCCCCCACTTTATACGACAAAATCTCTTAAAGGAGCAGTACAATCTTTATTAGCAACATTATGCAAAGCAGCAAGTAAGTATCATCTTGTATCCTCATGCATCTATTTTAATGTCATAATAAATTTATAATCAATTAATATAGAGAAAACTTGCAATGCATATGTTCACATATATATGTAGAATTTATCAAATTTGAAAGTTTTCTATCATTTTGCAACAATGATAATTTTTGAGATATCATTAAAACTTAGTAAATAGATGCATAATTTTGTGACAACATCGGAGACGCTGGACAGTATTATAATTTAAATTTCTACACCATCTGCCGTTCTCAAGTAATTGTTGATAGATTTAAATATTTTGAATAAGATTTTAGATTTGTTTTTATTGCTGAATTGTCTGCTTTATATTTAATAAGATTTTTTTTAACAAGTCTTAATTTTATATCTTTTTTAAATTGCAAATCTTTATACTAGTTTAGTAATGTAAAATAAATCTTTTGAAAGAATTATCACTTCATCACATTTATTCATTATCTTTTTTTATAAATTTAATTTATATCTTAACCCATTAACGCCCAAAAGTCCTAAAATATTAATCTTACTTTGCAACTATATTTTATGTAGAGAAACATATATAAGATTGCAATAGCATTTTCTTATGTTTTCGGGGTCGTTCTACAAGATTCTGGCATCAGAATTCGTTTAGATCCAATATGGCAAAATTTGTAGAAAAAAGTCGTGAAAAATCGATAATTTTATTTTTTATAAGCTTGATTTCGTATCAAAAACGTTATTTTGATACAGATACAAGTGTCACATCTTGTTTCAAAAATGTTGAACTTTCAAGATATGCATTGGTGAAATTGTGAATTCAAGGTGGCTGCCTCAAAATTGCGGTTTGAGCGGAAAAACTTAAAAAATAATGTATTTTTAGAATAATTTCGCAAAATCTTAGTATTTAGCATTAATTTAGTATCCAGGGTGCTGATTTTAGGATATTTGCTGACAACTAATTCAAATTAGATAATTTCAAAATGGCGGATCCAAGATGACGACTAAAAGGCACGAATAATCGTGAAAATTTCCAGATTTTCATGAATTTTCTTCTATTATTTTCATGAATTATTTTCGAGACGTACACACGTATATATACAGGGTGGGTAATTATAAACTTGCAAACTTCATAAAAAACATAAAATATCGAGATAAGTACAACGGACGGGGAAAAATTGGAATCGGTTACGTAAAGTTTTGAGAAAAATTATTAAATAAATGAGGGAATAAATGCGCAGTGGTCGGACATCGCGGGCCTGCTACTCCATACAGCTTGGACCGGATTGACAGACAACAACGGCGCGTGCTGTTGTTGCCTGCCAATCCGGCCCAAGCCATGCGAAGTAGCATGCCTGCGATGCCCACAACGTATGCCCACTGAGCGTTTATTCGTTCATTTATTTAGTAATTGTTTTCAAACCTTTACATAGTCGATTTCTATTTTTTCCCGTTTGTTTGTACTTATCTCGATGTTTTTTATGTTCTTTATAAAGTTTTTTATAAAGTTTGTAAGTTTATAATTACCCACTCTGTATATGTACGTGTGTACGTCTCGAAAATAATTCATGAATATGAAAATAATAGAAGAAAATTCATGAAAATCTGGAAATTTTCACGATTATTCGTACCTTTTAATCGCCATTTTGGATCTACCATTTTGAAATTTTCTAATATGAATTAGTTGTCAATAAATATCTTAAAATCAGTAACCTGGATACTAAATTGATGCTAAATACTAGGATTTTGTGAAGTTATTCTAAAAATACATTATTTTTTAAGTTTTCTTCGCTCAAACTGCCATTTTGAGGCAGCCATCTTGAATTCACATTTTCACTAATGCATATCTTGAAAGTTGAATATTCTTGAGACAAGATGTGACACTTGTATCTGTATCAAAGTAACGTTTTTGATACGAAATCAAACTTGTAAAAAATAAAATTGTCGATTTTTCACGACTTTTTTCCAAAAATTCCGCCATATTGGATTTTATTGTGAATCCAAACGAATTTTGATGCCGGAATCTTGTAGAACGATTCCGAAAACATAAGGAAATATTGTTCCAACCTTATATAATGTTTCTCTACATAAAATACAGTTGCAAAGTAAGGCTAATATTTTAGGACTTTTGGGCGTTAATGGGTTAATAATTGAATTCATATCTTAATAATTGTCATTGTTTCTAAAATGATGCAGGATTTCGTTCAGTTCTATGAACTGTATCTCAAATATTTTCTTACAGAACCAATTATTTTGGGAATAATTGGCTGTTCTGGATTTTTTTAAATCATCCTGTATATGTAAATTTTATATTCACTTCCGTTTTAGATCAAGATGAAGAGCAGTTTTTAGTTTATGAAATAGAATCACTGTTTAAGCATTTAGCAGATGAAGCCTATAAGAAACGAGAGGATCGAGAGATTAAATACACGAAAGCTTATGCAGAATATACATTTACACGCTTTACGCATATTTATAAAAGAGGAAATGAATGTATAGTAAGTAGTCTAATATACTTTAATCTTACAATTTTTATTGGATTAATAAAATAATATTATAATACAATAATATCTCTTATAATACAGTTTCATAAATATACGGACGGAGGGTCTGAATATTGCAGTAAGTCAGTCCTGCATCAGTGGACATGGAACATGTGTGAAGAATTTTGCAATCCACTTCAAGTAGAAATGAAATCAGGAGTGCATTATCCCGAAGAAGCTGATTGTAGCTACAAAGGCATGATGCAATCGATGGCAAATTTAGATATCAAGCGGGAAGTACCTCAAGAATCTGAGCTATATTCAGTGATCTCCAGTACAGGCGTAAGTATCATATATTTGAAATGCCATTCTATGCACATATATTTATGTATATATATGGATTTGTGAAAGCATATACATACACGCACGCACACACGCATACAGGTGTGGGTCTGCATGATGCGTGCGTGCATATAAATAGATAATATATTGAATAATTTTTTAAGCAATTAAATGAGATGTATACATACATGCAATACTGTTTTCGATACTTATCAGCATGATTACATTTTTAATATATTTTGTTTTATATATATATATTTTAACAGGTAAGTCAGCAACATAGAATAAGAGTTTCTGAAAGGTCATACGAAGATGAGATGCGTCGTCGGAAAGAATCCAAGCCAGTTTTAGTTATTGATTACAGTAAAACAAAGGAAGCTAGTACTACTGCTAAGTTTACTGCTGATTCTGATGAATCTGTTGATAAAGCTATTGATGAACCTGTCAGTAAACCTACTGATGAACCAGAGCAAAAATCTGTTCCAAACTATGTATGTATATTCCTATAATCTCTCTATTAAATGGAAAGTACAATGTTATTATAATTATATAATTTATTAATATTTATTTAATTTATTGATTCATTTTCCTTTTTAGATATTCGGAAAACCAATGCGACCTCCAAATACTGTATGTAAGTATAAAAAGTTATATAAATTAAATTATTAGACAATATAAATATACAAGCACACAATGCGTGCGTGTGTGCGTAAAACATATATAATTTGTTTATAATATAAAGTTATATACAGGGTGAAGAGAAAACCCCGGGACCCCTGAAAATTTTGAAAAATATACACTTTATAAAAAAATGTTTCAGACAAAAGTTGTAGCGTTGAAAAAGATCTATTTACCGATCTTAACAATTTCACCTTGGGTGGCGTTATCAAGGTCAGGACAAGGTCACCTCGGAGATTTTAAATGGAACTCCCAATTTTTTATTGTATATTCTTATAGCCCTTCTTCAGACCCTTTCAAAGCACTGTGGTTTTATCCAATTTGAATAAGCTGTTCCGAAGTTATCGAGTTTCTTAAAGTAAGATATCTAGCCAACTAAGGCAAGATCGGAGGATGATCCAGCCAACTAAGGCAAGATCGTAGGATGATCCAACTAAGGCAAGATCAGAGGATGATCCGGCCAACTAAGGCAAGATCGGAGGATGATCCAGCCAACTAAGGCAAGATCGGAGGATGATCCAGCCAACCAAGGCAAGATCGTAGGATGATCCGGCCAATTAAGGCAAGGTCGGGAGTTGTCCGGCTAACTAAGGCAATACTGGAAAGCTCTAAAGTAATTGTTCAAAATATCAGCCATCAACAGTTTGACAATAAGCTAATCTATCGTAAAAAGATGAAACGGCTTTTTGAATGTGATCAGCAGGGATGAGAGCAGCTTCATCAAGAATTCGATTTCGTAAGTCATCCAAATTTTGTGATTTCGTTTTGTAAACTCTATCTTTTAAATGGCCCCACAGGAAATAATCGTTAAGTGATAAATCGGGTGATCGAGGGGGCCATTCTATAGGTCCTATCCATCGATGAGGAAACATTGTGTCCAGATAATTACGGACGTCCCTTCCGTAATGTAGGGGGGGGGCACCATCTTGTTGGAACCATGTATGCTCGAAGTTGTCATCCATGATTGCTTATATCGCTGGAACTATTTCGTTTCTTAGCATATTCTCATATTTTATCGCTATTAGATTTCCGTCAATAAAGAGTGGACCTATGAGAACATAATTCAAAATGCCTCCCCAAACATTCACTTTTTGTGGATACTGCGTTTGTGTTTCTTCAATCCAGTGAGGATTTGTATCTGACCAAAATCTACAATTGTGTCGATTAACGTGGCCATTTAACTGAAATGTTGCCTCATCTGAAAATACTACATTTGATAGATAGTTAGGATCTTCGGCTATTTTTTCCATCATCAAATCATAAAATTCAATGCGCCTATCAAAATCATCTTCATTTAGCTCTTGTACAAGATGGATCTTATAAGGATGAAATTTATTCATTTTCAATATTTTAAGCATAGACATTTGATCTATTTCATGTTGCTGTCTTATTTTGCGGGTCAAATCATGCGGATTTTCGATAAAAAATTGTAGAACATCTAATGATTTTTCTACACTTGTTGCTGATACTGGCCTACCTGGTATTGCACGATTTTTCACACTTCCAGTTTCCTGAAAACACCTTATCGTTCTTTCAACGGTAGATTTTGAAATGGCATTACCCTGATTACGAAAAGTTTAATTAAAAAGCCGCCTCACATCATTGTACAACCTTAGTCGATCATCCCATCCTCTCATCATCAAAAGAGATATGCGTTCTCGTTTTGAAAGATTTGTCATATTGACAAGCAGAAGTGGTAAGATTTAGTCTAATCGACTAAATTAATATTTGGATCAATTCAAAGTTATTCTAAAGACAGTGCTGAAGAATAATAATGAGCACGGAATGAAGTGCAATTAAGTCAGCTTACAACTAACTTCAAACTGTTTCTTAATAATTTTCAAAAAAATAGAGGAATTTCAGTCGAGTTTGCGATTCACTAAACTGTAATGAGTATTAAATGAGTAAATGGAAGAAATAAACATCGAACAGCAGAATAGTTCAAATAAATAAATAACTGACATAAATCAATCAACGAAATTAAGACAAGCCAATAGGAGCCAATGCCTGGAAGTTAGTCGCGCAATTATTTTTACGAGTTGGCTGGATCATCCTCCGATCTTGTCTTAGTTGGCTTGATCATTCCGACTTTGCCTTAGTTGGCCGGATCATCCTCCGATCTTGCCTTAGTTGGCTAGATATCTTACTTTAAAAAAACTCGATAACTTCGGAACAGCTTATTCAAATTGGATAAAACCATAGTGCTTTGAAAATGTCTGAAGAAGGACTATAAGAATATGCAATAAAAAATTGGGGATTCCATTTAAAAAATCCGAGGTGGCCTTGTCCTGACGTTGATGACGCCATCCAAGGTCGAATTGTTAAGATCGGTAAATAGATCCTTTTCAACACTACAACTTTTGTCTGAAACATTTTTTTATAAAGTGTATATTTTTCGAAATTTTCAGGGATCCCGAGGTTTTTTCTTCACCCTGTATATATTCTATCTATTTCGATAAAATTATTTATTGTATATCATTATTGTTTTATCTTATTTTCTAAATTATTTTTAGCATATGTAGCTGCTACTATGGATGATTATCTGCCAAAGAATGATGAGAAGAACTTTCCTCCTATTGGTAAATCAATATATAATGTACAATATTAACACAAACACATAAATGTTTAAATACATGTATAATTGAAATATCTGCATTTATAGGTGGAAGAGGTGTATTGTATCGAAAAATTAAAGAGAAATCAAGGAAAGCACCTATGGGCAGAGGTAAATATTATGTTATAATAAACCTTATAAAAAATCTTATGCATTTATTTGAAGTTTTACACCGATTTAATTTTTTGTTTATTTATTACTTATTAATTTAATTTCTTTAGGTCAAGGTCATGCATGAATAAAATCTTTATGAGTTATAAATCTTTCTTCAAAAGGGATGTACTATTATGTTGACTTAACCATTTATGTTATAAGAAAATGCATCCATCCTTTATTTTATTCATAATTTAATAACTTTTACGTTTTTCGTATATCAGACTAGTTATAGCCTAATGTATGATAAATAATTACCAGAAACTGGTTTTCAACTTATAACATTTATATGGATTAGTTTATGAGCTAATTCCGATGTCAATTTTTTTTTTAAAGTCATCTAAATATTATGTTAATGTAATAAATAATATGTTTTCCTATTGAGAGATTTTAATTTTATTTTCATAAATATTTCTTTGTTAATTAATAAAATTTCGAAATTCATTAAGCTAGACATCAGAGGTAAAGAATCTGTACTAAAAATTCCTACGGGTTATGACAAAATAAAAAGATGTATCCATAAAATAACACTTGTAATCGACTCGTGGACATTTATAAAATGCCTCGGAAAATTTCCTTTTACTGTAATGATGAATTAATTAATCATTAATCATTAGAATTAATAAATAACCATAAAATTAATATGATATGCAATCTTGCTTTTTAATTTTTTTTTTCGTGGTTGTGCTGTATTGATTTTTCGCTTATTTCGGTTTTAATAAAAGAAAAATCGGTTTTAATAAAAGAAAAATTTTCGGAATGTCAGAAATATGTTTAATTAATAACAAGTGTTAATTTATGGATATATCCTTTTATTTCAAGATAATTTGTATGAAACTTTAGCATGGATTTTCTCATTTCTAACGTCACAATCAAGATAACAGAAAAAAAACTGAAAGCTTTAAGAGAAAATAGCTACAACAATCTGTTTTAACTAAAGCAAGTACTGTTTGAATCACTTATCTTCTGTTATCTTTCAGGCAGAGGTCGGGTTCTATATCCATAAAAGGTCGGCTTCTTGGTTTCAAAGAAGTTTTCGACTTATTTTTTAGTTTTAAAGATATTTCGAAGTCACTATTCCTTCGGGCTTATATCAATGTAATTTGATGAATAAGCAGAATGTGGGAGAAATTTTCAACCCGAGGGTTTACGTGGCTGCAGCAGAGGTCGGGTAGAAAAAAGAATAGCTCTAGATTAGTTTGAGTATATAATAGTTATTTTTAGAGTAATGTTGCATCCAAACGCTTTAATTTCTGACTGTAAATCTCTATTTGGTATGATGACAAGAGAGCTCATATATAATAGATCACATTTTTCTTATCTCATAAGATAAGATACATAGGGGTACTTTGTGGCAATGGATATTATATCGTAATGTCTGAGAAACGGTTTGACCGGAGCTCACCCATGATTGTGCTTGGGATTATCGACATAAATCCATTTTTCACTCGCGATCATAACACGGTTTAAAAAAATTTTTTATGATGACAAAGCAGTGAAATTATACCCATTCAAAATTACACATTCGGACGTCATTCATATGCACCCACTTTTTCGCTGTTATTCACTTTGCTAAATGCTTGCAAATAAATTACATGATCTTATGATCTATTTCGAGTTGTCTTGTAAGCTTATCGGTTGTTTCAGAATTTTTTTTAATGACACAATTAAATCTTTTGTTTTCATATTCACTAGCTGCTTAAAATGTAGTTTGTCTTCCAAGTTAAAATTTTCATTTTTCATTTTCAGTTTTATTTTCAAAGTTTCATTTTTATTTAAAATTTTTAAAGCGTCCAATTTTTAAATTGAGAAACAGAAGTAAACAGTGGTGGAAAGAATATACATTTTATATGGCATCATATCAAATCGAACTAAACACACATTCATGGTAAAGGTGATGGCTTATAATGTTATTATTTGAATGTAACAAGCTAGAACCTAGATATAAGGGGTCTGTTCTTTTTCGAAGAGTTTTTGAAGTAATACTATGCATTGGTGTAATAAGTCAGAATAAGAGAAAATCTTTTACTCCAACTTATTGTTAGTTCAGAAGTTCTTCGAAAAATAATAGACCTAAAATTTGTTTTCTATTGCTGAACTGACCGTACTAACTGGTATTGGTTTTTTTATTCTCTTTCTCCAACTCTCAACTGTATATCTTTTTTTTTAAGTTTCGTGAGCGTACACTAGTTTAGTGATAAAAAACAGAGCTATAAATAGACAATTATTGACATGTGTAGTATATCAGAAGGCAACTGTTTTGTTTCTCCAAGTGTGGCGTATATGTATTATATATTTTAAGCATTGTTAGTGAATATAGGGGCGCAATTACACATACGAACACATACACACACACACACATATATACCCAGTAAGAAATCTGTATGCAGACTGACGTCAGAGCCTTTATTCTCGAAAATTTATGAAAAATATCGTATACGATATTTCATCAACAGGGCAATTTAATTGGCTGAAAATTGTGATATATGGTGATATTCATGAAATATCGTGTGCGACATTTTTCAAGAATACGAGCTCAGATTAGCGACAGAAATCTGTCAAATAGAATCTGTCGAGAGATTCAAATATATCCGTGTCTCCAATTTGCCATCAGACTGCTGATAGGGCCTGCTAACAAACTCCGGCAATAGATTGATGGCAAATTGCACGCATTCTGCCGCTAATTTATTGTTAAAGTCTGTTAAACAGATTTTGTATATAATCTATTGTCTTTCTGACAATAGACGTTGCTAACAGACTGCGCAAAATCTGCTTTAGCAGGTTTGTGTGTGTGTGTGTGTGTATGTGTATGTATATGTGTGTGTATGTGTATATATGTGCGTGTGTCTACAGTCTGATAAGAGTGTCTGGCGTAACTCAGAAACAATTTATTATAATGGCTTGGAAAATTATATATATATACATATATTACCTGATTAGAACTGTAATGCTTTATTATTAATAATTTATTCAGTCGCCTTCGTTATCAATTGCACAGCTTCTTTTTACTAATTTTATGGCATATTCTTGAGGTAAAGATCTTCAGATCAATTAAATTTGTCGAACTAACTTCTCAACTTTCTAAATCTTTCCACGAAGCTTAAGCTTCATTAATGCCCAAACGTTTTCAATGGAATTTACATTCGGCATTTATGACGGCTAATCCAGTATGTCAACGTCATTTTTTGTTTCCATCCCAGTCAAGACCGTTGATTTGACATTGCAATGATCAATAAACCGTTGAATCAATGTTAATTCAACCCTCATTGACGTCGAATCAATGTTGTAACTGGGATGCGATAGAACAAGATTATAATGTTTTGATATTGCCATTTTCTAGAAATCATTTTTTGTTTTTCCTTCTAAACCATTTTTGGACAGATACTAGCTTACCTTATCAGCTCCCGTTGAATTTAACGTTTAACGGTTTCTGTTAAAAGTAATAAAAGTTTTGTCGGCCACGCTCTTATCAAACAGAAGTGTGTATGTGTGCGCGCGCGTATATGTGTCTATGTAGAAGACGTTAATGTAGAAGACGTTAGTTTAGAAATATATAGTTTATGTTACATATACTATATCTTTTTTACTTACGGTTTTCCGAAAACGAAATGCTGCCAGTCAGTAATTTAGATAGCCAATCAAATCAATTGTAGGAAACTTTTTTCACTCGTCCCAAATAGACATATTAGCAATAGCTCGCACGCATTCAACATATAGTTTATGATACCATTGGAGCGGCATAATATGTTTGTAATATATTTGCTATAAGAAATACATATTTTTTATTCCATATTTTGCAGCAAATTATCAATTTATTTTATATTGCTGATTAATTAATTGTGCCCTCTTACCGACATAATACGTGGCATGTGCTGCAATTTTCATGGTATCAGATTGCTTCTTTTATATATAGAATATAAAATATAAAAAAGCTGTTGGAATGCTTTTTGTACGAAGACGCATCTTTACATATTTATGTTATTATTTTAATTTTCGAATTCAGACTTTATGCAGACAATGTGGTAAAATTTGTCTGGGGTATAATTAACTTTCTCATGTACGTCTTGTCTCTCTCCTCCCCCCATTTCCCTCTATCTCTTCCTCCCCTCTCTCCCTCCCCCTTTTCTCCCTCCTTCTCTCTCTCTCCCCCCCTCTTTCTCTCTTTGAGGGTTACTCCGAACTTGAAATGTTGGGTCAGGATGTATTGAATTGGTGAATATTACACACATGCATATAATAATATAATAATTTTAATAAAATCTGAGTTATTGTTTCCTTGCTTTTATTACAATATTGCTCTTGTCATGCTTGCTCACTCGCTACTCTCGTCTCACTACTAGCCTTCTATCTTTTATCCCTTACTTTCTCACTTCTCTATCTTCCCATCTCTGTACTTCTATTTTCGTTCCTCTTCTCTCCCTCTCTCCCCTCTTGTCCCCTCTCTCTCTATCTCTATCTCTATCACTTCTCCTTTCTTAACAGGCTCTATCCAGCTCCTTTTCTCTTCTTCCTTAACTTTTTCTTCTTTCTTCTGACTTTTTACGAGCTCCTTTTTGAGCTACCATATACACTCGCATTCTCGCATCCTCTTTTATATTGTTCTTACTCTTCTTTTAATTATCTTCTCACCTAATAATAATAATATCCATTCTACAATAGTACCAACTTTGCGTAAATTTTTTTTAACTCCTTTTAAATTATCGCGATCTGTCCTAATTAAAGACATTTAATAATATGTTTATAATTAGATTCAATGGACATGCATGGAGTAGATTCAGTGATTCACTCAAAATAATTACATCATTATGAAGTTAAAATAAATCCTGCAGGATTTTGCGTTTTAATCTCCGCTTAATATTATTGTCAAAAACTAGATTACTGGCAAGAGTATTGGGATGGGTTTTCAGCCGTTGTTTATATTGGGTCTGGGAAAAAACTCGTGGCGTTTTTTTAGTAAAATTCAACTGGTTTTCTTATAGTGTGAAAATGAATTTATTTAAATATGCTCCATTATTATCGACAATGTTTCGCCATTTTTCGAGTAGAGCCATGATGCCATCGGTGAAGAACTTCTGTGGTTTCTGGTTGAAAAACTGAATCAAGTGGTTTTCACAGGCTTCTTTTGAAACCAGCTTAATTCCATTGAGAGAGTTCTGCAGAGATCGGAACAAGTGATAATCATAGGGTGCTATGTCTGGACTGGTCGCCGCCGCGGAGCGGGTCTACGTGGGGGTGGACCCGTGCCGGGGTAACAGCGCTGCCCGCTCGCGCGGTGCTGTGTTTCCGGTATCTTCTACCGGGACACGTGCGCGAGCGGTGCACCAGCGCCGTCGACTGCGGCGATTTATGCTATCGCTGCGGTAGCCCCGGCCACCGCGCCAAAAGGTGCCTGCGGGCGGCGAACTGCCCCATCTGTGCAGAGGCGGGCAGGCCCTCCGATCACAAGATCGGAGGGCTTGCCTGTGGCCCCCCTGCGGGCAACAGGAAGAAGAAGGAGAAGAAGACAGGAGGTCTGGTGGGAGCGGGAGACACGGGGGTGACGAGTGCCCGAAACGTCGCCGGAGTGCCAACCCAGCCGACACCAGAGCAGCCAGGAGAGGGGAGTGAGTCTCTTCCCCCAAGGAAGGATTTAGAGGGGGAAGGTGTAGGGAAACCAGCCCTCACCCCAACAGAAGACCGGGAGGACCATCCATCCAGCCAGTGCGACTGGGAACCGGAGACGACGACAGGCGCAGAAGGCTGGCAGGAGAAGCCACCGGTACCTCCAAGAAGGAAGAGGAAGGGTAGGGAAGACCCGGACACCTTGACGGAGGAAAAGGAACAGGAGGATTCAAAGGTAAGGAGGGTGGAACCCACGGGTCCACCCCCAACAACCCTAGAAGACGGGGAGACGAAGGGAGCGCCACCCCCATCTCCCCAGGTTGACGATTCCTCCTCGTACTCCCGAGAGGAGGAATCCGCACAGGTAGGGACCCCCCACCACTCCGCGGAGGCATCCGTAGACGAGGCCACTACGGCCGAAGCCTCCCCCGGGTTATCCGAGACGACTCTGCCGTCAAAGGATGGCCAGGGGGGGCCGAAGTAGGTAGCCCGGAGGAGGCGTGAAAGGCATGGCCTTCACGCCACTCCGGGTCCTACAGGCCAACGTCGGTCACGGCGCCCGGGCTCAAGACCTCTGCATGCAGAGGTTGAAAGAGCTGGGTGCCGGGCTGGCGGTGGTCACCGAGCCGCTCTGGATCCCCGTTCGCAGCGCGAACTGGTTCAGGGGTCCGGACGGCTCGGTGGCCATGGTGGCAGACCCTGCGACGGGGGCCCCGCCCTGTAAATTCAGGGAATCGGGGTCCTTGTACGTGGCGGTCGATTGGGGGCCCATTACTGTGGTGGGGATATACCTTCCCCACCACAGGAACAAGGTCGGTCTCGGTCGTCCTGCCCCGGTCAAGGCGGTCCTGGATAGGGTCGGGGAGCTGGCACGGAGGTGCCATCCCCGACCAGTCATAATTGCCGGGGACTTCAACGCCCACTCGGAAGGGTGGGGTTGCAGTCCCCGGCAACGGGACCGCCGGGGGGACACCGTGATCGGCTGGGCAGCGGGACTGGGCCTTGTTCTTATGAATGAGGGCTCAGAGAGCACTTGCGTGCGGCCGGAGGGGGGACGGAGGCTCGGTCATTGATTTGACCTGGGCGACCCCCTCGGCCGCGGGGCTCTTCCACGAGT